CACAGGTGTGGTAGCCAGCAGCCCTAAAATTACCTATATCTGGGTGTCACCACCACCAGTGTGTGGCAACCCTAGGACCTCTATCCATATGAGTTCCTGTAATGTCCATCGTATGCTATAAACTAATTTGTTGTGGTGCTTAACTAGTTATATGTTGGAAGTAAAAGATAATTTGCAGCAAGAGTAATTGTGTAATTTTTGCATGCAACATTTACAGAAAGAGGTAATTGAGTGAGACCACAATTAATTTATAGCGAGTACTATTAAATACATCATAATGTGGGTTTGTCAAAGGAAGTGCTTCCGCATAACATGAAACCAATGTAACCGTTGGGTGTTTTGTGTTAATCTTTTAGTGTAGAACAAAAATCAGTGGCTCCTAATCGTGGTGTTTTTATTATTTACGAGTGTATTAATTAATACTAATTAATTGTTAATTGATTTTACACTAAGTGTGATATTAGTGACTTGTGCTCTACTGTAGATATGCATTTCACAAGTAATAAAGTGACGCATTCCATAGATATAACTGATTCCAGTAAGGTTAATATAATATTATGTTTAAATGTTGAATTATGGTCAGGCCACCCTTGCTTTAACACATTTTTTTTTCTGTTGCTGCGCGAGGCCCAGGGTCGCCCGTCAGATGATATGAACGAGCCTTGATAAATAATAATATTGTGAAAATATTGTATGGCGTAGAGTCAAAAATAAATATTCAATACTATGTTGGTTTCATGTGGTCAGATCATAGAAGCGTAACCAACCTGTCAATAATTAATAAAATGCTTTATAGTATCAAATATTTATTGATTTTATTATTTCATAATGGTTAGGACAGTGCATTGGTACATTGAGAGGTTTTTTGATATGTACGACATTTTCTTTTCTTTTCCCTATCTTTGTTTTCATAATTTTCAGTGAATAAATATTGTTTAAATGTTAAGATCCTACATGTTGTCATTGTATTCTGTGTGTATTGTACCTGTGTACAGGGTTAACTTTTTTAGTCACATTTTCTGTACAGACTTTGATCTCGACAGTGGCGTAACAAAGAGGGTTGGGTCCCCTGCAGGGGGTGCCGGGGGCCAGGCCCCCTGTCGGGGAGAAAAACCACAATTCGTTGGGAAGGGAAAAAAAATTATATGTACGTTTTAGTAGAATTTTTCGGGGGCCACTTTCGAAACATTTTAAGGGACGCTCGACCACGCCCACTTTCCTCTCGTCGGGCATCGGGGGTTCCCCGGTTGGGGACCTCGGACCCCCGTCGGGGAAATCCTGGCCTCTTTGGGCCCTTTATCCTGTGGGCCGGGTCCGTTTCAGGCTCTTGGGCATCTAAGGACGTATTTTGATTTAAAAGGCCCCGATCGGTCGATTTGGGCGAAATAAAAAAAAATGTTAATGTATGTCCTGTATCCCTTAAGGTCTGTGTCCGTGGCTTATCACCTGTTGCGCAACTGGATCTCGATAGGGAGATTCGTCTTTTGGAAAAGAAAAAAAAAGAAGATTAATAAGTGTTTTTTCATGTGACTAATAGTGGCACCCCAGGGGCCAGGATTGAAATGGAATAAAATGGTCATATTTCTTCATTATTTCCATCTTACAATACAATGTGATCGATCCAGTGTAGTGCTTTTTGGTCTGCTACTTTGTACCCTTTCCAAAGTTGTATGTATTTTCTTACTTTACTTGCTGACCTTCAAACTTAACTTAACAAACTTAACTAACCTAAATTAACTACTATACTTAATTTACTTATTTACTCAACTTTTATAGAATTTTTGCTTTTTACGATTTTACTTATTCACATACTCAATTTTTGTTTATTTACTTATTGATTTACTTAAGAGGGCCTCCACTTTTTACTTTTTTTTAACTTATTTATTTAATGACGCAGTGACCGTAACTCTATAAACGGTGGTACGATAAAGAATTTAATAGAGAAGGCAAAGAAAATTACAGAAACTAATTTTTAATTGCTCAATTAAAGTATCAACTACCAATGAGACACAAATCTAAAATTTCAGTCTGTGCTGATTTACAATTTTTTGCTAATGCTATGAAAATCTTATGGTCTATGCGAAGGATTAAGAATTTGCTTCCTTAATTGATGAGGAATATAATATCTCAATCTAATTCGTAATTGAAACGTAAATAACTGTGCTCCAATTGGCTGGCAAAAAGTAAAACGGTCTGCTATGGCCATGGTGATGATGCTCTATATGGCAACAAACCAGAGCCGTAGATAGAGAGAGTTTGGCAAACTCCGTTTCACGGGATTCGATATACGCGCGTGTGATTGGGTGGATAGCAATCACATGACTTACACCGGCCATGTTGTCACCAAAACAAAACATTAAAGCTATACGCGCGCATGCGCCTGGGCTGTTTGGTAACGACATGACGTCCATGCGCCAGGTTGGCCAAACTCTCTCTACGGCTCTGCAACAAACCAAGACAAACATTAGTTTCTAAAAGAATGCCATAGTTAGGCCTACCTGCCAATTTTTACAGATTTTATGACTGTAGGCCTAATCTCGTGTTACACATACGTACTTAATTACGCGTGATCAACAAGCGTGTATCACATATACTAATTAAATTATTACTGGGAGCCCTGTTCATAGGAATATAATTATTAATTTGTGCTTTTATATACCAAGACGCATGTTTTATTGAAGACGGCTAAACGAAGATAACTTCAGCTTGGTTTCCATACAATCGCAACACGCTATCGCCGACAGCTTTTGGTGATGCTGATTGGTCGATCGAATCGGGGAGCAGTACACCAGTTGCACTGAAAAAACTGTAGCGACAATGTAGCGATGTATAGGAAACTCGGCTTTACTCCAGCCAATAATTGTATGTACCTACAGTAATTATGCAAATGTATATAGACCATGCGCCCATAACCAGGGGGTTTCTATGGCTCAGTCATACCCCTTTTTAAGCGAACCTCCTCTTATAAACCGAACTACAAATCTCTGCATCAAAAACCATCAAGATTAAATTCAACAATGAAATAATAAAATGCTTCAGCTCCAGAAGGTTTCACCTTTTTGCGTTCACTAAGATGAACCTCTGGCTTTCATAGGAAACCCTCTTGAAACGATCTTGGTTTTGTGTTTGGACCTAACAAGGACACCCTACTAATAAGGGAATATTTGGAGCTTCCATGCAGCTCAGGCAAGTTTGTCATTGATAATTTTATGTGCAGTATAAATAGAATTTTTACTGGACACTTTAAGGAAGTTATGACACAAGACTCACAAGTTACTGGGCTTAAAAATATGGTAGATAGCCAAACTGGTTGATCGAAGGAAATACTTTTATTCGCCTCTGATTCATTTAAGAAATAGGGTTAATAATTTGCGCGCTGATTTTTCAAAATGTGAGGGCTGGGGTCACAGGAAATCGAGTAATATACAAGGCGTCTGTAATACTCCTCATGGTTTATAATATTTTTAGGGTACTAAGGACAGTGATATATTTTCACAATGAATTATTATAGATTTTTGCTCCGGCAACCTTAAAACTATAACTTATTTTGTTAGAGTTAACTTGAGCTACAACCACTCGTAGTGCTTTTCAACTACGAGTTAAATGTGTGTGCCTATCACATACCAATTCTATTTCATTTGAGAGTCTCAGTGCGGTGCAAGGCCATGGACACATTTTTACATACCAGAGATTCTTATAAATTGTTGAAAATAATTTATTTAAAATATATATTGCCTTTAATGCATTAATAATCTTTAATAATGAATTTCAAATCCCTTACTTTTATTTCTTTTTCTTCACTAATTAACGGATGCTTAAATACATAGACCAAAATTACACACACAAAGTATGGTGTGAATAAACGGGATTCGAACCCAGGTTTCGTTCTGTATCAGTATCACATGCCAACTTAGCCTTGAAGAAGACAGGATCACCGAAGAGTGAAAAAAAATCCCCCCAACC